GATGCAGCTGACCTGTGTCCATAGCAAAGCGGCGAAGGTGCGTCTTCAAGTCGGAGAAACTAAGGTTAGCGATCTCTTGAGCGTAAAAATGTTCGCTGAAGTCGATGTAGTAGCAGATTTGGTCCTTTGAGATCTCGTCGACGTGATAGGTCTCGATTTGATACTTGGAACGAGGTGAAGACCTGCGGAATGATAATAACTGCGTTCAGATCGCTGCATCAGGGTAGTCGGAGCTCAAGGACTCTTCGTTCAGTTGAGACATCTCCGTTTTGTGCTCCTTCCGAGTGGCCTTGAGCTTCTCGTTCGCTGGGCTGCGTATCCTGCCTCCAGTCAATTTGTTCGAGTTGCGATGAAGGAACAAGACCTCTCCTTGAGCGTCATACTGCACCATCGTCATGCCGCAAAGCGACCCGTTAATCGCTTTTCCAGCTACTGCTGGGGGACTTTGGATCATGAAGAACGGTACGTCCAGCTTCAGCCAGGCCAATCGAAACAGATCTTTGTCTCCCCACACAAGTTTTAGCTGTACGAATGGATTTGGTCTATGGAACGTGAAGAAGCGGAGGAGTTCCAATGGTGCTGCATGTCGTCGCCGGTCGATGAGCAGTTGACCACTCTCCTGCTCGAACATATCCATAAACGGCATGTCCAGGAGCTCCCAAAGCAATGAGTCTTCGCCAAGACAAAACAGGGTGTGCTGCGGATGTCAAAAGTCTGGCCAAAATACAGCACCGGTATCGACAAACTCTGGCGTCTTGAACAGGAAGCTCGGGTCGCGAACGGGAACGTTGTCAGAATCCAGGACAGCACGCGGTCGAACGCACTGTGATAGATGGCGAACACTTTTGTGGCAAACTCAATAGCCAGCGGATCGTCAATCTCTTGAAACGTAATGCCCCCGACCATATCGTTTGCAGCCAACTGATGAAGTGGGTCGATCGACGCTGTCACTTTGCGCATCTCATCGGGACGGAACCAGATTTCGATCGGTAGTCGGCATCGCAGCACTTCACGCAGTACTCGAATGGTAGCGTAGGTACTCGGGACCATCTTGGGGTAAACCACCATCACGATTCCGTCCGTCAACTCGTGCTCTTTCATGTCCACATTCGGCAGCGTGAAACCAGGTTGTAGACCCCGCCGTGCAGTATCATGTGCCAATACGCGAAAATTGGCAAACCTAGGAGCCTCCAGGCATCTGAACAGAGCTGCCTTCCCCACCAATCCGCGCACGTCCGTCGCGCTACCTTAAACAATTCTCCTGTGTTTTCGTCTTGCAGCTCGCAATAACCAGATTGGCCGCGGGGGATCGTTTTCGTGCAGGGTCGGTCGAGCTCCGGTAGTCGAGGACCATTGTGACTGCAATCCGCTGTAGCTCTCCATCCAACACACTTGAACTGGCGCTCAATGCTTTCT